GATAAGAGAGCCCACTATTCCCACTTCTTTTCAACACTGTAGGGCCGGTCCTATTAATTTCATAGAGACAAGGGAAATAAATGATTTTAATTGCATAATTTTAATATAGAATTAAAAAAACTAGAAATAAAATATTGTTATTTAGAGAGTGACAAATATAAATTCAGAATACACATACAAAAATACCCCAAACAACTGCATTTATATACTTCAACAATAACTAGAAAAAATAAAACAAAACATAAAACACATTTAAAATAGCATTGATATTATGAAGTGCCTAGTAATAAATCTAAATAAAAGTTTGATAAAGCATTTATGGAAATAATTATAAAATTCGATTTAAAATATGAACAAACACAGATAAATGGAAATAAATAAAAATTATAGATCTCAACCTTCAGTATGTCTATAGATATGGTATTAACATGTAGTCCTTATAAAAGTTGCAATTGTTTGGAGCAACTTGATAATCCAACTAGATTTATATCAAGGAGTAAATGTCAAACGTATCCATTCCTGAAGAAATATAAGGATATCAAAAAGTTTATCAAGATTAAAAAATGAAAGCAAAATAATTAAAATATGGTATTGAAACACTGAACAACAGTACAGAATCAAGAGGCCAGGGACACATATATTTAAATTTGGTTAGAGTCTGCTTTTGGTTATTTATTACTGCATTAAAATCTCCAACAATGTTTAGTGGCTTAAATACATATCTGCTTTATTTGTTCAAAAATCTGTAGATTGATCTCATTCTTCTGGTTCATTTGGTATGGATGAAAGTACAGGAATGACTAGAATATCAAAATATTCTCACTTGTGGCTTGGAGTTGCCATTGTATGGTGGATGATCCCTCACCATCAGCACAGAGTCTGGTTACCTTCAGGAGAGCCTCTGTGCATAGAAATTTGGGTTTTCTTACAGTATGGTGGGGCAGGGGGAGAAGGGAGGGAGGTTTTCAAGAAGGAGTATTCCCAAATGAAAACGGGATCCACAGGTCTCTTTAGGAATCAACCTCAGAATTAAAAGCAGAACATTCCACCTCATTTTGTTATTGGAACAGCTCATAGGACCAGCTAAGATCAAAAGACAGGGAAAGTAGATTCCGCTTCTTGATGGAGGGAGTCTCATGGTCACATCACAGAACACATCAGTGTCCTGTTGGCTGTTGTGTGTCACTGGGGAAATAATAAGCTTTTTAATAAGTTGTGATGGGACAATTGATGATTCCTTAGTGGGAGAAACAAGATAAAAACTTGAGAACTTTGGTTCTAAATCCATAATGAGAGTGAAGAACAACACATAATAGAAGATGTTTGTAAGTCGTATGACCTGACAAAAGACAAGTAATGTAAACAGAATTACTGTAAATAATTAAGAAACAGAATACCGAAGAATGAAAAAAAGGGATTAATAAAATTTTATAAAATTAAACAAATAGCCTATAAATATACAAAAAGATGGTCAACCTCACTGTCAGTCATGGGCATGCAAATCAAAACTATAAAGTTCATCTTTGTACACATGAGATTGAAAGAAAAAATTACATTTACCAAGATATAAAGATATATTTACAAGGTGGGGGGACCTCTAACTCCATTTTCTTTGAGCTTTCCTATATGTTCCCCCCCCCCCCACTGGGAGGATTTATTAGGCACCGTTTGATTCCACCCAGAGGTTTGAATAAAGGGTGTAAAAGACACACACTCTATTTTATTTTTTAAAGATTTATTTATTTATTTGAGAGAGTGAGAATGAGAGAGAGAGTACGTGAGAGGGGTGAGGGCCAGAGAGAGAAGCAGGCTCCTCGCCGAGCAGGGAGCCTGATGTGGGACTCGATCCCGGGACTCCAGGATCATGACCTGAGCTGAAGGCAGTCGCTTAACCAACTGAGCCACCCAGGCGCCCGACACACACTCTATTTGATCTTTATTTCAAGGCTAAGTTTTAATGACATTTATAGTTCAAAGGCTTTCTGACTTGCATCTTTTCTTACTTATTCTAAACATATACATCCTTGAATCACTGGATCTTCTTTATTCTCTTTCATTTCTTCATTCAAACCAGGCAGTCTTTTCTGCACTCATCCCTTTCTGGCAGAGTTTTCTGAAATGTAATCAGTTGAAATCAATGCCTATTGTGCCACTAGCATTCTGTTTTACAAACTCTCCTTTATATGTATATCATCTATCTTCTAAATTATTTCAATCAAAATTTTCCCACTGTGTTACATGAATGTTCATCTTTCCAGCTTGCAACAACTCTTTCCTCATTGCCAATTCCTATAATTATACACATACTCATGATGTGTGATAAACATATGTGACAAAAATTATGAAGAAAAACAGGAAGACAATTAATTAAAAAAAACAGTAGCGTTATTATTTCTATTGGAGACGAAAGGTGGTGCTATTAAGAAAAACACACATATTTTCTAAGATTTGTGACAGATTATCTCCCGGTTGCTAAGTACACATATTTGCTCTCTTATACTCTTCTTTAACAGATGCACTTTCAAACACTTTTTGCATATATGCCACAACCTTTTTTTTACTTAAAAAATACTAGGTGCACTGATTGGACAGAGCAGGCCACTAACATTGCTTAGAGAGAGGGTGGCTTTAAAAGAGATTTTTGGGGTCTGGATATGTCACGTATAGGGTAACTGGGAAAGATTCTTACTGGTAAAGAGTAGAAAGATAAATATTATTTGCAGAATAGCAAGGCAAATTAAAGAATCATTGGAAGAAATTCAGAAAGTTAATAAGCAGTGGGGTCTGAGTGAATTTACAAATAAATTATTAAATGGAAAATTCATTTTGCTAGGGAAAAATGAAGTCACTTCAAAATTTTAGCTTTCATTTTTGTCAAAATTAATGCTGGCTGATGGCAACATTGAGTGCTAAGTGCAATACAAAGGTAATACAAATATTTTATATGATTGTGGTATAATAAATACAGTCGGTCTTTGTCCCGGGGCCCTGGCACAAAGCTCGTAAAACCCTTGGAATGTCCTTAGTGATAGGAGTGTCTTTTGTTAACTCCTAAAGTGCCACTTTTTGAGCACACCTGAGTTTGTGCTAATAAGCTGACTTAGGCTGGGACCCCTAGATAACTTCAGCATGGGTCTGGCCACCAGAAAGACCAAGTGATTAAAGGATTGGAACTTTCAGCCCCTCGCACAGACTTCTGGACAAAGGGTCAGGGACTACAGATCAAGCTTTATAAAAACTGCTGAACAAGCGTTGACGAGCTTCCAGGTTGGTGAACATATACACAGGCTGGGAGGATGACCACTCCAGTTTCTAGGTGACAGAAACTCCTGTGTGGGGGACCATCCAGGCCTTCATCTGGCTGTTCACATGTGTCCTTTATTATATACTTTCTAATAAAGTGGTTAACCTAAGGAAATATTCCTCTTAGTCCTGTGAGATGTTTTATCAAATTAATTGAACTTGAGGAAACAGGTAGTGGGAGCCTCCAGTTTATAGCCAGTTTGTCAGAAGCACAGGTAATGACGTGGACTTGTGGCTGGCATCTGAAGTGAGAGCAATTTTATGGGACCGAGTCTTTAACCTGTGGGATCTGATGCTATCTCCAGGTAGATAGTGTCAGAATTGAATTAAATTTGTAGAATTTGGTCAGTGTCCACTGAGAATTGGAGAATTGCTTGGTAGTGTAGGAACACACATGCTGGATTTGTGTATTGTCCTGAACGTTGCAATTAACTTATCATACACAAACACACGCACACACCCACACACAACACACACCGCCAGATGCACACACATACACATATTCACAAACATACTGAACAACTCCAGAAAACAATGATGGAGATTTTATATTATTGTGGTTTTGTTGTTCAGAGCACCAAATTCTCCTCAGAAGTATAATACACATACATATGAAAGAGAAACAGCGTAAATTTTGTTTTTAGGATTTCATTTGTCAGAGGGAGCATGTGCACAAGCAGGGGGAGTAGCAGATAGAGGGAGAAGCAGGCTCCCCGCTAAATAGGGAGCCCGATGCAGGACTTGATCCCAAAACTCTGGGATCATGACCTGAGCTGATGGTAGATGCTTAACCAACTGAGCCACCCAGGCGTCCCCAGCCTAGGTTTAATTATTATTTACCGCTTGATTTTGTTTTTGTAAATGGCAGAGTTCTTATAAATGCTTACTGATATGAAATAATTCAACTGTCCATAAAAATAAACCTCCAATATTAAAGTAAACCAATTAAATGTTGGTGTGAGTAGGTGTTTCTGAGTAAACGCTGTAACTATGCCATGAGAGAGTGAGAAAAGCTGGGAATATAAATATACAGCTAAAAATATTTCAAGAGCAGGTAAGTCAGAAACTCTAAATCTATAATTCATCACATGAAAAAATAATTCTTCTCAGAACAGAGTAAAATTTTGTTCTGTCAAAATCAGTTCTTGTATTCAAAGTACAACAACCAGTTGTGCTAACTGGTGTCAAATATGTGACATTCCCTTTATTTCCTTTACATTGTAAATTTTGAAGATTTGGAAAGCTTACTTGCTGTGATAGATAAAACAAACAAAAAGACAAACTTTCGGGCCTACTAAGAAAGATAGTTTGTTCTCCTTTCTCTGTTGCGGTCTTAAGTCATATAAGGCAATTTAAATGTTTTTGATTGGTGCAGACTGATAAGAGTGAATAGTGGAACAACAACACTAAAAGGGCCAAAATTTTAAAAGAAAATACCAAATATTGATGAGGCCAAAGGACAACTTAAACTGCCAGATAGAGCTGGTAGGGGTATCAGTTGTAATCATTACTTTGAAAACCTGCTTGGCATCATCTATAAAAGCTGAACACACACATTTTCGAGACATACTTAGAAACATACCCTTGTAACACAGACTCAACACAAATGCATGGTTGTGCACCCTCGATAAAAAAATTAATCATTATGATTTCAAACTGGAAACAATCCAAATGTTTATTACAAGCAAGTGGATGAATTGAGAATGCCAGATTCATAAAATGGTGGCCACCTCAGAGAGTCGGGGACCTGGGGCAGCAAAGGAACTGAGAAAAAGAAACGACAGTAGAGTGAGGCACAGGGGACCCCAAGCAAACAGCCCGAGGTGCCGAGGTTTATTTTCCATACTCTTACATACCTTCTAGAGCGATATAGATCTATAATGGTTTGCAGCAGGGGCGTAGTAAGGCACATTCCTCCATGTATACAGGATTAGTCAAGCACGTAAGAATCTTTTAAAACAGAATAAAGGAACAGAGGGGGGTGCCCAGTGTGCTGTTTTCAGGACAAGGGAACAGAGGGGGGTGCCCAGTGTGCTGTTTACAGCTGGCTTCCTATCTACAAAACATCTTCTGCTGCGTACTTTGGAACTGACCACACACGTCCCAAGGGCATTTCACTCTGATCCTTTCAGGTTATTTTTAAGCCTGCACTCTCGAGTTTTCTCAGAGATCTCGGAGTCTGAACACGCACCGGTGGTTGTTGTGGTGTTCTGTTTCCCACAGGTCCCCCTTTCTTTTTTCAAATTAGCTGCTGTCGTAAGCACTCTGTGATGGAGATTTGGGGCATTGATTTGTCTTTTGAGGGTACAGTATCCAGAATCCAGACCCCCATACGGGCCTGGAGAAGAAGGATGGAATCCGTACTGCGGAGAGGCGCATGTCCCCACCGCTAACATAGCCAGGAACAAATGTTCAGGGGTTTTGGTAGATCTGGTCGTCTCCAGGACTCGCTCCGCCCTCTGAGTGAGGGTCTTCAGTTGCCCCCAAGTTGGGGGTATTGTCGGGGACAATTTTCATTTTCGAGGTCTCTTTCAAGGAGAGTGTTGCCATCTCTCGGACAGGGGGTTGGGTAGTCAATCCCTGCAGCGGCTGAGACACCTCTTCTGTTGTCTTTATCGCTGGTCCTGGGCCGGACTTTTCGAAGAGGTATCCAAATTGCTCGACTGGATCCATCTGGAATGACACAAGCATAACCAGGGCCTCGGATAATTAATTTCCCAGGCAACCAATTATTTTCCTCATTTTTTATCTACACGCGTGCGTCCTGAGTTGAGATTGAGGCTGGCGAGAAATGCTTTGTCAGCTCTAGTGTAAGGTTCTCCTTGGGGTAAGTTTAAAAATTTAAAATAAATAAGGTTTGTGCCATGACGTCTTGGGGAGATTCCCCCTTTCTTTTTAGGCATAGTTTTACGGAGTTGTTTTTTTAATGGTGGCATGCGCCCTTTCTACTACAGTCTGTCCTTGAGGATTATAAGGAATACCTGTGATATGCTGTATTTGCCATTCTGCAAGGAATTCTCATACTTTCTTGCTAGTATATGCTGGGCCATTATCTGTCTTGATACAAGTAGGTAATCCCGTAATAGTGAAACATTCAAGTAAATGAGAGCCTTTTCTCCCATCAATGGAGTAGCATGAAGAAACCCTGAAAAGGTGTCTATTGTAACATGAGTATATGAGACGTCCGAAAGGTGGGAAATGAGTAACGTCCCGTTTGCCGAATACAATCAGGAGCTGTGCATCTGGGATTGATGCCCGCCGGATGCTCAGTTAAATGTAGAGGTTGACAAATAGGACAGAAGAGACTATTTGCCTGGCAGAGCGCAAGGGTATTTTATAGTGTGAATGTAGGCAGTTGGCGCTGGTATGAAGATGGGCATGTTCTACTTGTGGAGTTTCAAAAATAGGAGTAGCCAATAAATCAGCAGACTGATGTCCCCGTGCAAGAGGTCCAGGGAGGTTAGAATGAGAGCGGATATAAGTAATGAACAAAGGGTGAGTTCGAGATTGAATTTCTAATTGTAATTCCTGAAGCAAAGGTTAATGATAGAATGAGTTGTGGAAATAAGAGCTGTTTCCAAAGGCGCAACAATGCCAACTACGTAAGCAGAATCAGATACGATATTCATAGGGTAATGAACATTCTGCAATAAGAACAATAAAGCTGCAAGTTCGACCTGTTGAGCAGAAGTGTAAGGGGTTTTTATGGAGCGTGGAATAGCAGGGCCCCAGACTCCGGCATGCCCAGAGGAAGAGCCATCAATAAAGTTTGTAGGAGGTGAGGGGATTGGGGCGTTGCGAACTCTGCGATTTATAACGCCGGCAGTGCGCTTTAGGAAGTCCCATAGTTCACCTGACGGATAGTGGCAACCTATGCACCCAGTATAATCAGCAAGAGATATCTGCAGATCAGTAGAGAAAGGAAAGATTTCCTTAAAAAATGTGATAGAGATAGGTAAAACAACGAGCGCTGGGTCAAAACCAAGAATTTGAATAGAATGCTTTTGTCCTTGAAGAATGAGTGAAGCGACAAGAGATAGATATGGAGTAACAGTTTGAGAAGTTTTTGTATATAAAGTTACCCATTCGAGAGGTTTGTCTCCTTGTGCTAAGACACCAGTCGGAGAATGAGGGGTAGGGAAAATAAGCAGCAGGGGGAGAGAATCATCATAACTGTAAGCAAAGGCAGTTTTTAATCGCTCCTCAACAAACTGCAGTTTGGCCTCTGCCTCTGAGGACCAAACGCGAGGACTATCTAAAGCAGAATCACCTTGTAAAGTGTTAAATAAATTTTGTAATTTATAAGTTGGAATCCCGAGGAGAGGGCGAATCCAATTAATGTCTCCTAGGAGTTTCTGAAAATCATTAAGCGTAAGGAGGGTATCCCTACGAATTTGCATTGTTTGAGGTTTCACTGTGGTTCTATCTACCACAGTGCCTAGATAAGAAGCCGGAGTAGTTGTTTGGATATTCTCCGGGGCTGTTATGAGACCCGCAAAGTCAAATGTTGGGAAGTGGCCTGATACACTCTTGTAATTTGGTTTCAGTTTGTGATGCCAGCAAAATATCATCCATATAATGAATGATATATGATCGAGGATAATGATCTCTTACAGGTCTGAGGACCTGGCCAACATAATACTGACACATGGTAGGAGAATTAGTCATGCCTTGTGGCAAAACTGTCCTCCATTGATATTTTCTCATTGGTTCCTTATTGTTAGTGCTGGGAATTAGAAAAGGCAAATTTCTCCTTATCCTCAGGGTGAATGGCTATGGTATAGAAACAATCCTTAAGATCTATTGTCATCAATGGCCATTGTTTGGGAATGGCTGTAGGAGTGGGTAACCCAGGCTGCAAGGCACCCAAAGGCTCCATGATAGGATTAACATTCCGAAGGTCCATAAGAGCCTCCACTTACCTGATTTCTTTCTGATAACAAAAACGGGAGAGTTCAAGGGGGATTGCAAAGGCTCTATATGTCCTGCCTGCAATTGTTCTTGAATAATTTGTTCTAAGGCCTGCAATTTTCCTATCGGAAGGGGCCATTGAGGAGTCCAAACCGGGGAAGAAGTTTTCCGTGTTATTTTAATAGGGGCAGGCCTCTTTTCCTCAACGGCCCCTAGAAAAAAAGGGTAACCCAGTCCAGCCCTGTGAGTTTGTCCTTGGGCAATGATAGGCTCCTTTATTCCTTGACCTTGTCTGCCTAAGCCCTGTCCTGTCTCATAGCCCATTTTTGTCATGATTTGATTAGCTGGTTGACTTGGGGGGATGATTAGCTCAGCTCCCCATTTTTGCAAGAGATCCCTTCCCCAAAGATTAATGGGGGTATTTAAGATGAAAGGCTGGATAACTCCTTCTAATCCGTCTGGTCCCTCACATTTAAGTGGCACACTACTTTGTCAAATTTCTTCTGCCATCACAAAACCTATTCCTTCTACCGAACTAGAGGCTGCTTGCGTGGGCCAGGTATTAGGCCAATGCTGGGAGGCTATTACTGAAATATCGGCTCCAGAGTCTACTAGGCCTGAGAAAGTCCTTCCTCTAATTTTAAGAGTCATAGAGGGACAATCAGTCTGAGTCAATAATGAAGCCTATTTAACTGTGAGGGGATCAATACTACCGAATCCTCCTCATCTGATCTGTTGGGACTGACCAATTTGTACATAGGGTAGTAATAATAACTGGGTGATTCTATCTCCTCCCATAAAAGTCCAGGGAACCCGAGTCTGTGGGATCACCATTATTTCTCCTTCATAGTCAGAATCTATTACTCCAGTCATCACCTGGATTGCTTTAAGATTTATGCTAGATCTTCCTAGCACAAGACCCATGGTTCCTCGTGGTAAAGGTCTGTAAAAACCCGTGGGTATTTTTTGAGGCCCAAGACCAGGGTGAAGACTGACTGTAAAAGGAGTGGTTAAATCTACTGCGGCACGTCCCTGGGTGGCGGGACTGAGTGATAACACGGAGGGTTTATGTGCGCAGTGGGAAGTTGCTGCTGGAGAGGCGACATATTGAATCCCCCGTTGTTGTTCAGGGCCCGGGGGTGGTCCTGCATCCCATTTCCCGACCTTAATGGGGGTGGGTTACCTTGCCTGTCAAATTTGGATTTGCATTCCTTGGCCCAATGTTTGCCTTTGCCGCAAAAAGGGCAGAGGCTAGGGGCACTTTTAGAAAGGGAATTGGCTCTAGGTTGGGGGGCTTTACGGCATTCCTTCTTGACATGTCCTACTTTCCCACAATGATAACATTTTATATCCTGTTGTTTTTGTAGGGCCATGAGTCGAAGGGAGGCTATCCGAGTTTGATGTGTAAGAGTGCCAATATTTCTACGTAGACGAAGATAATCGAGAATACCTCCTGTTTCTCTATGTGGCTGGATGGCCACTTGGCAGTCCTCATTAGCATTTTCAAAAGCAAGCTGTCTTAACAAGTGCTCTTTAGCAGGTTTATTATAGACTTGGCGGTCAATAGCCATTTTGAGCTGAGAAATAAAATCAGTATATGCTTCTGTAGGGCCTTGCACAATTTTTATATAACTTTGTCCCACTTCCCCTGGAGGGGTTAGCTTTCCCCAAGCTGTGAGGGCAACTTCAGATACCTGTACTGTGGCTGTGGGTGGGGTGTTAACCAATTGCTTTCAAACATCTGGAAAGGGGCCAGAGCCAGTGAGCATTTCAAAGAAATATGATGCATGGCTGGGTTAGCCCGATTCACCCAGGCTTTCATATAGACAGCATCCGATAACCACATTTTCCGTTGTAATAATTCCTGTGGCTTAAGGCAAGCCCATGCAACCATATGCCAATCATAAGGGATCCACTTTCCAGAATTTGCCCAAGCTTTCAAAATCTCTATAGTATAAGGTGCTGTGGGACCATACAAGTGACAAGCCTTCTTCAGTTCCCTTAAAGCACTTAAATTTAATCCCTCATAGACAGGACCAGCAGCTTGTGTTCTGTCTATGGGGAAAGCCATAAATAGATCATTAGCCCCTTGCCGTCGGAGTTCCTTTTTGCGAGGTGAGAGAGCTAGAGAGGATCGTTTGAGAGGGAATAAATCTATCGTGGAGGGAGGTTGATCATCTTCAGTGGGGTCCTCCATTAAAAGCGGAGGGGCCGTGGGTGATGGCCGGGACTGTGAAGCCGTGAAAATTTTTTTACTTTCAGTCTTAGCCTTTTCTAAAGCCCCATCATCTAATTCATATGTATGTAAAGAGTTAGGAGTTTCTTTAGCAACCTCAGCTGGGGATAACTTATCCCCAACTTCCATAGCATTGATCACCACTTGTACTAAAGCCCAAATGGGCCAGAAATCAAGGGGAATTGTTTCACCCTGTCTCATAGCCCTCAAGACATCATTTTTTACTCAGACCCAAGTCTCCTCATCTAAGGAACCTTCCTCTGGAAACCAAGGATTATATTCAACTACTGTTTCCAAACATTTTTCTATGCGCTGCTTAGTAACTTTAGCTCCATATTCTTTAAGAAAATGATGTATCAATGCAGCAAAACCTGATGCTTTCGAATTTGATTCCCTCATAACCCTGTAATAAACTTTCCTACTTACCACCTTCTGTAGGGTTCTATCGCTGGCCGATCACTCCTCGACGGGGGCTTCAGGTCCCTGTTTGGGCGCCACTTGTCGACCTCAGAGAGTCGGGGACCTGGGGGAGCAAAGGAACTGAGAAAAAGAAACGACAGTAGAGTGAGGCACAGGGGACCCCAAGCAAACAGCCCGAGGTGCCGAGGTTTATTTTCCATACTCTTACATACCTTCTAGAGCGATATAGATCTATAATGGTTTGCAGCAGGGGCGTAGTAAGGCACATTCCTCCATGTATACAGGATTAGTCAAGCACGTAAGAATCTTTAAAACAGAATAAAGGAACAGAGGGGGGTGCCCAGTGTGCTGTTTACAGGACAAGGGAACAGAGGGGGGTGCCCAGTGTGCTGTTTACAGCTGGCTTCCTATCTACAAAACATCTTCTGCTGCGTACTTTAGAACTGACCACACATGTCCCAAGGGCATTTCACTCTGATCCTTTCGGGTTATTTTTAACCCTGCACTCTCGAGTTTTCTCAGAGATCTCGGAGTCTGAGCGAACACGCACCGGTGGTTGTTGTGGCGTTCTGCTTCCCACAAAATGGAATCATACACTGGACGAAAGTAAATCACTCATAGCTCAACAAAAACACTCAGGTGACTTATCAAAACAATACTGAGTTGAATAGAAGGCAGGCAAAATAAAAAACTCACATAATGTATTATTCCATTTACTATAAGTTCATAAGAAAGGAAAATCGCTCTCGGTTGTTGACCCTCAGGATAGTAGTTAACTTTGGGAAGGAGAGAGTAGGATTGAAGGCAGAACAAGTGACTTCTATTTCCTGATGTAGATATTAATTACATGGGTGAATCACTTTGTGAAATTTCATGAAACTGAAATTTATGATGAATTCTACATGTGCATTATTCTTTGATAAGCAGCTGTTGTTGTTAATGTCAGCATGAGACAAATCAGCATTAGCATCATTTTCTGATCATTTTGATCGATCCCTTAACTCTCTAACACTCTCTCATATAACTTATTTATGTCCCTGGATATCTAGAAGTATTTTTAAGTTGTTTCCTTAAAATTCTATAAGGAGAACATATAGGATGATTGATATGTGGAACTGGCCTTCAAAATTATATAGACATTAATTTAAATATTCTACAACTTGGTGGACCTGGTATTTTCATTAAAGTGTTAACGAATGACTTAATTTAGCCATTTCCACAGAAACAATTGCTTTAGACAAAAATAATGTAAAGATGAATAAAGCACAGACCATCTCTTATGAAACTCACAATTTGGAAGGGAAACTTAAATAAAGATATTATTATAATATAACATAAAAAATTGTGCAGGGTAGTTTGGAAGAACAGAATGTATTTTGTAGGATAATAAAGAAACTCTAGGAATGTGATGCTAACAAAGAAAAAGCACATGTTGAACCTAAAAGACACCACTGAAGGAAGTGGGGAAAGAGAGCTCTGAGAAGTTGGGATTACCAGAGTAGAAAGAATGGCACAGGGAACAAAGGAAGGACAGTTAAGTGACAGGGGCAGGACAGTGAATATGGGTATGTCTATCTTAGTTAGCTCAGTCAGCCATAACAAAAAATACCACAGGTGGGATGGCTTGAATGACAGACATCCATTTCTTATAGTCCTGGAGGCTGGGAGGTCCCAGATCAGGTGCAGGCAAGGTAGTTTCATTCTGAGGCCTCTGCTATGGGCTTGTAGGGGGCCACTTCTCACTCTGTGCTCCCATGAGCTCTCTGCACATGTGTGGGGAGAGAGATTGTGTGTGTGTGTGTGTGTGTGTGTGTGTGTGTGTGTGTGTGAAAGAGAGAGAGGGAGAGAGTGAGTGAGTGAGCTCTGGTGAATCTTTTAAGGACACTAATACTATTGGATCTGGGACCCTGCCTTACAACCTCATTTAAACTTAATTACCTTCTTATAGGCTCTATCTCCAAATACAGAAACATTGGGTGTTAGTTCAATGTATGAATTTGGGGGGAGGAGGGACAAAATTCAGTCCATAGAAATGTAAATATTTAGTGCTTATTTTTAATTAAATTTATATAAAATGTACAAACCCCATATAATGAAGGTCATAAATATTTAATGATTTCTTTCTTTCTATCTCGTTCTTTCTTTCTAACTCTCTAGTTACTAAGAAGGAGAGAGAGATGTCATGTACGTGATAGTTACTTTAATAGTTTCAACATGTCATGTCTTCCTAAATTGATCTATAAATTATATGTATTTTTCAATTAAGAATTCTAAAGACAAATTTTAAGATAGTACATTTAGAAAATCTTTAATGACAGCCAATAAAATTTTGAAACAGGAGAGTAATGAAAGAGCTTATGCTTCCATATATCAAAATGTACCATAAAATTATAATAATTAAAACTGAGATATTCATGAAGAGATTAGTAAAACAAAATAAGGCAATATAAGTAGAACCATGAACATGAACTAATGTTAGATCTCTATCTCACAATGTACAAGAATAAATTCCAAATGAATTAAATGACCAAAAGTGTATGTGTGTATATATTTTACTCAATATACGCAGGAAGACACACACAACTAGGGATATGTATGTGTTCATGTATGCTTGTGTGTGTGCATAACTTCAAATCTTAAAGTGAGGAATACCATCCTAGACAAAAAGTTTTTAAAGTGATAATACAAACCATGTTTTGGTTTAAAGTCATGACAAAAATAGAATGGTAATAGAAACACAGCAACTTCTCTAGGCCAAGCAAGTAAGAGGGAAAAAAAAAAGCAACAAAGATAAAGAAGCCAATAGGATAAAGGTCTTGCAACATATATATCTCTAAGTATTCAAATACTTATAAGCAATTATACAAATTGATAAGAAAAATTACAAAACCCCAAGTTTATCTTTTCCCATGACTAAAATTTAAGTTGGCTTCCACCTAACATGATCTAGCAGTTACTATTTCAACTACAAATGTACTCACTCTGTTCCCAATGGGAGATAATGTACCGCCACACCACATACTGCATTCTAGTTGCATAGTGATGTTATCTCTAGCTACTGCTTTTCCTCTGGTCCTCAAGATAGACCAGGTGATGGTCTTCATTATCCTGCAAACTTTGGGCTAAATGAGAAAAATAATCATCCCCAGTGTAGCAGATATCCAATTTTGGACAAAGAAACACAACTATGATTAGATGGTTATGAAAAGTTGTCAAGAAAAGAATTTCTGGAATCAGACTGTCTGCTTTTAAATTCCAGTTTTTACCATTTACTAGTGGTAGAACTACATGTGTGTTATTTCACACCTCTGTGCCTTGTTTCCTCATTTGTAAGAGAGAGTCTGTAAGAGCTGACTTTTTCTCTGTGTGCTTGTGGTGGAGCCAAGACTCTTCAAAACACTGTATATGTGTTAATTCATTGAATCTTTACAAACACCTCATGTGGGAGATGCTATCTGTATCCCTATTTTAAAGCTGGAGAATAGGAACCACGGAGGGGCAAGGTGACTTTTGCAAAGTCAGAACTGAAAATTGGTAAGGCCAATAAGAGATCTCGGGGGCAGCAACTTACCTCAGCATCAGATCAGAGAATCATCTGCGTCCTGTAAAGGAGAATGTTCTTGTATAGCAAATCTGACTGCCTAGTGGGTCGTGTATAAGGAGGGCTCACCTGGTATCTGGTGCTTCGGAACTCCTCTGAGGGAAAAGCTGGAGAGGGGTCCATACAGGTATGAATGCCCACTTAATTATAATGGTCTTCAGAATTTTTGGTTACTTAGAGAGCTGAGATGTTCTACTTTGTTTGGCAAAAGTCAAGCACACACATGTGTCTGCTATACCCAAATATGTGTGTGTGTGTGCGTTGTTTTGTTTCAGCTTACTTTTTTCCTCTTTGACATTCTATGGACTCTATACCTGTTCCAGTTTATTTGTTTGCTGGTCTGATCTGCCTAGGAATCCCTCTCCAGATTCACTGCTTTGCAAGTTACTGTCTCGGATAACCCACATGGAAAGCTTTATTGCTTAGCAAGCCTGGAGCCTTCCCCACGCCTCTTCTAGCCTGAGGGCACTGGTGGTATGCAGTGTTCCTCGGGAGTGGGGCTGCAGGGATCTTTTCTTCCATAATATGTTTTAGCTCATCTCCCCATGTCCCCTGTCACATAGCAACACTAATTACGCTTTACACAGGGAGATACTACAGAGGGCTTTCACATAGGTTGCACAGAAGAATCTGGGTGGTTGTGCTTCTACAGTCCTCTAAGGTCCTCTCATATGTCCAAACTTAATTCATCGGGATGATTCTACTTGCCAATCAGTAGACCTTATACTTTTAAAGGTCAAACAGTAAGATATCCTGTGGTTTCGAATAAGAAATGATCGATTTCTGGCAAAGCATCTCTCCAAGCCACGTGTATTTTTTTCCAGTAGGGTATGAAGTCCAGATTTTCATTTCTGTTTTAAGCTTAGCACCCTGAGTCTACATTTTTCCTCTTTCCTTATGGATTAAGGCAACCATTGTATTTGCTTTTTCTGAAGCATGCATGTCATGTGACACAAGGTCTAGCCTTCTTAAAATTTCAGGGGACAACTTCATTGGTTGATTTGTATTTCATTACATAGTGGAGATGGGTTTATGCCCCATGGCTGGGAAAACCTCACTCTGCTCTCTGTAGTCTCACTTCCAGGTATCTGATGCCTGCAACTAAATTCTTTCTCTCATAGGGATTGTTACCTTCAAAGGACAAAGACCACTAAAACCAGCTGAGCCATAAAGGGGAATTCATAGGTTTCCCTCTCAGCAGCCAAGGAATATATATCACTCAGCTCTGTTCAACAACCTGACTCAGGATCTGGTAATCCCTGACCCGATGTTATTCTCCGTGTCTTTGATGCAACATGGGCTCATGGCTCTTTCTCACTCATACCTCTGAATCGCCTCTCGTAGAAACACATTCTTGGAAGATACCTCATTGGCAAGGACTAGGTCAACTCCTCATCCCTTATCCAGTCATCTGTGGCTAAGAGGCTGAGCCATTTTTACTTAGATAGAGGTCTTGCCTATGGCTTCCGCATGTGTGAGAGAGAATGCGACAAGAATGGGGGGAAATATATAAAGCAATATTATCATAACAAAACCAAGGATATACCAAATTTAAATTCACAAAGGATGAGCCCAATCAGAGACAAGAAGAAGAGGGGTCTGAGAGTCAATATAATCCAGTGGCTAAAGATACAATAGAATGGGTGGGTTCAGGTAGCAGATTCGGATTGGAATCTCAATTCTTAGCACCAGCTGATTGACTCTGAGCAAATTATTTAACTTCTCTGGGCCTCAGTTTCCTCTTTTATAGAATGTAGAAACTTTTTTTAGAATAAAAACAAAATTCCTTAGTATAATTTTATTATTGATAGGC